CCGTGTAGACATGTTCCGTGTAGACATGTTCCGTGTAGACATGTTCCATGTAGACATTTTCCATGTAGACATTTTCCATGTAGACATGTTTCATGTAGACCTGTTTCATGTGGACCTGTTTCACGTAGACCTGTTCCATGTAGACCTATTCACGTAGACATGTTCCATATACACACGTTCCACGTAGACATGTTCCATGTAGACCTGTTCCATCTATACATGTTCCATGTAAACATGTTCCATTTAGACACATGTTACATGTAGACGCATGTTCCATGTAGACATGCTCCATGTAGACATGCTCCATGTGGACATGCTCCATGTAGACCTGTTTTATGTAGACCTGTTCCATGTAGACCTGTTCCATGAAGACAGGTTTTATGTAGACATGTTCCATGTAGACATGTTTCATCTACAGACATGTTCCATGTAGACATGTTCCATGTAGACCTGTTCCATGTAGACATGTTCCATGTAGACATGCTCCATGTAGACCTGTTCCATGTAGACACATGTTCCATGTAGACCTGTTCCATCTAGACATGTTTTTTGTGGACATGTTACATGTAGACATGTTTTATGTAGACATGTTCCATGTAGACATGTTTTATGTAGACATTTTCCATGTAGACATGTTCCATCTACACACATGTTCCATGTAGACCTGTTCCATGTAGACATGTTCCATGTAGACCTGTTTCATGTAGACCTGTTTCATGTAGACATGTTCCATGTAGACATGTTCCATGTAGACATGTTCCACGTAGACATGCTTCACGTAGACATGCTCCATGTAGACACATGCTCCATGTAGACCTGTTCCATGTAGACCTGTTCCATCTAGACATGTTTTATGTAGACCTGCTCCATGTAGACATGTTTTATGTAGACCTGTTCCATGTAGACCTGTTCCATGTAGACATGTTCCATGTAGACATGTTCCATGTAGACCTGTTCCAAGTAGACATGTTCCATGTAGACCTGCTCCATGTAGACCTGTTCCATCTAGACATGTTTTATGTAGACCTGTTCCATGTAGACATGTTCCATGTAGACATTTTCCATCTACACACATTTTCCATGTAGACCTGTTCCGTGTAGACCTGTTCCATCTAGATATGTTCCATGTAGTCCTGTTCCATGTTGACATGTTCCATCTACACACATGTTCCATGTAGACCTGTTCCATGTAGACCTATACCACATATACCTGTTCCACGTAGACCTGTTCCATCTAGACATGTTCCATCTAGACATGTTCCATTTAGACATGTTCCATGTAGACACATGTTCCATGTAGACATGCTCCATGTAGACCTGTTCCATGTAGACATGTTCCATCTACACACATGTTCCATGTAGACCTGCTCCGTGTAGACCTGTTCCGTGTAGACCTGTTCCATTTAGACATGTTCCATCTGCACACATTTTCCATGTAGAGACGTTCCACCTAGACATGTTCCATGTAGAGACATGTTCCACCTAGACATGTTCCATGTAGACATGTTCCATGTAGACATGTTCCATGTAGACCTGTTCCATGTAGACATGTTCTATGTTGACATGTTCCATCTGGACCTGTTCCATCTGGACCTGTTCCATCTACACACATGTTTCATGTAGACCTGTTCCATGTAGACATGTTTTATCTAGACCTGTTCCATGTAGACCTGTTCCATGTAGACCTGTTCCATGTAAACCTGTTCCATGTAGACATGCTCCATCTACACACATGTTCCATGTAGACCTGCTCCGTGTAGACCTGTTCCATGTAGACCTGTTCCATTAGGACATGTTCCATTCAGACATGTTCCATCTGCACACATGTTCCATGTAGAGACATGTTCCACCTAGACATGTTCCATGTAGA